GAATCTTCAGAATTCTTTTTAGGTTGTTTTGAAACAGGGTTCTCCCTAAGCTGCCTGGCTTAGCCTAGAACTCTATGTAGCCAAGGCTGGTCTTGGATGTGTGACCTTCCTGCCTAGGCCTCTGGAGTGGCCAGGGAGACAGGCCTTCACTTGCAGGGCCTGCTTCCATCATGGCAACGAATATCTAATTTATGTACTTTCCTATTGGCTTCCTTTGGATCTCAGGCCCACTCATCCTCTCCATCTTAAGTTCCATATTCCCACCCCAAGTTTGGGACCAAGTCCTTACCACAAGGAGGGACGCAGTCCTGGACTGTGGAGAGAAAGGAGGCATTAGGTATCCAGGTAGTTGACATAGAGATCCACCTAAAGCCCCTCCAGGAGGTATTACAGGCAGGGAGCCCTCTCTCCTCTCCTTTGGAGAACAGAGCACATTGTTCCTAAGGGGCAGGGCTAGGTTCACAGCTCTTCCTCCAGAGGGTGACGCAAGGCCAAGTTTGTCAGGCTTAAGACCTGCAACTAGCTAACTATGAAAAGTGAAATGGGGTGGGGGTAGATCTCAGGCAGTCCTACAAGGAGTCAGCACCTCACTAGCAGGCCCAGTTAGAGAAGCACCAACTACAGAGGATGCCTTTGGGCGCAGGGCCAGAAGGAGAGAGATTGTCACAAGGTCTGTCTTGGGATAGGAAATCCACTGGCCCCGGAGGTTTAGGTTGGATTCACATGTGTAAATATCTGTGTGTGGTGTATTGTGTGTAGGTGGGGGGCAGAGCTGGCGGCCAGTTTACCTTTTTTAAGCTGTTTTATGAACTTCTTCATTTTTGCAGCAGCAGTGGGGAAGGCAGCCATAAAGGACCCTGGAGGATGCAAGTAGGGTGGTCGCACTAAGAGCCCTTTCCCTATGGCTGAAGAAAGGACTTGCTTTCTGTCCAATAAGCACCTGCCTCCAACAGGTCCAAAGGGAAGGCTGGCACTCTTCCACCAGGTGCTCCTCCTGCCTCCTGAGAGTTCTATCTATACACGTAAATCTTAGTGGAAAGGGGAGGACAATGATCAAGTCTTCTGCAGGGCTTACTAGGCCCTACACTGTTGGTTCTATGCTTTCTCTGTTGCAGCCCTCCACTTACCTAGCACCCTTAATTTCTGTATAAACATCTTTTGCCCAGCGCTCCATCATTGTATGTCTTACCATCTCACGAGTCATTGCAAGGGTTCTGATTACCCCAAATCTAAAGTTCCCCACTTTTATCTTTCTTTGTGCCTCATTCAGTATATATAGGCTTCATCAGTTTGCAATTGCACATATGTGCAAATTAGAGGCTGTGTGTGCAAATTGCCTATGATAACAGCTCAAGTCCATCTTTTTGGCATTTTGTTTTGTTTTAAGGCAGTGGCTCACTATGTTCCAGGCTGGCCTAGACCTCTCTTTGTAGCCCCCACATAGGCCTTGAACTCAGAGATCTGCCTACTTCTGCCTCTCCAGTGTTGGGATTAAAGGCACACACAACCACACCCGATCCCTTTTTGTTATGTTTTTAATTAATGTTTTTTGTTGTTGAGAATCTCATACATGCATGCAAGCAATGTGTTTTGATTATATTCCTTCCCTTCCCTGTCTTCTTCCAGACCTACATACTTCCTACTCCTCCTAAGCCTCTTCATGTCTTTTTTTTTTGCAAGTATAACAACTCAGTCCAATCTGTGCTGAGCCACTGGAGCACAGTGAACTTACCATCCTATCAGGAACTGTATGCACCCTGCAAGGTAACCGGCTCTCCCTCCTGCCTATCAGTTACACCTCCTTGAAGATAGAGGCTTGTGAGCCCCTCCCCCACAGCGCAGGAATGTTGACCAACTAGATCTTGTGCAGGCTACAGCTGCTGTGAACTCAGGAGTACACTGGTTCTGCCGTGTCCAGAACACAAGACTTATCTAGTCTCCCGAAAACCTCTGATTTTTAACCATCTCTCCACCCTCTCTTCTCAATGTTCCCCAAGCTTCCACCTCTTCAATACAGCACCCTCGGAACCCACAAAAGGGCCTTACAAAACCACCCAGTGAGTATATGTCCAGTGAAGTTTACAGTCCAGCAGGAACTGTCAGTCACTAGCACTGAGTAGCCTTAGACCCAAATGCATCACCTGCATGTGATAAAAACCAGACAGGAAAGTGTTTCTTTTTTCTCTTCTTTCTCTCCTGTTTTTTTCCCCTTTATGTTTGTTTCGTTCTGTTTTGGAGACAGGGTTTCTTTGTCTAGCCCTGGCTATCCTAGAACTCACTCTATAGACCAGGCCAGATGCATCAGCCTCTGCCTCCCAAGAGTTGGGATTAAAGGTGTGTACCACTACTGCTGGCTTATTTCTTTTTCTGTATGTGAACAGGCTGCCGATATGTAACCTTGGGACAGTTATATAAAAGTTTGATATCTTGGTCGGGAGATAGTGGTGCACGCCTTTAATCCCCAGAATTGGGAGGCAGAGGCAGGAGGCTCTCTGAGTTCAAAGCCAGCCTGGTCTACAAAGTGAGTTCCAGGACAGCCAAGGCTACACAGAGAATCCCTGTCTCAAAAGAAAAAAACAAATAAAAATCTTGATGCCTCTTTAAAAAAAGAAATGGGGAGGAGGCTGAAGAGATGGCTCTGCAGTTAAGCCAATGTCTTACAGAAGACTCAGTTTTGTTTCCCAGCACCCATGTCAGGAGTTTCACAATCATCTGTGACTCCAACTTTAGGGCAGCTGCATCTTATACTGCGAGCCTTCAAAGCTCCTGCACTCACGTGTACCAACACCATGCTCCCCACCCCCATCCATGTAATTAAAAATAAAATAAACCTTAAAAAATAACCAAATGAAGCCCTGAGGTGGTGGTAGAGCATGCCTTTGATCCCAGCACTCAGGAGGCAGAGGCAGGCAGATCTCTGCGAGTTCAAGGCCAGCTGCCTACAGGCTGGTCTACAGAACTCGTTCCAGGGCACCCAGGGCGGTTACACAGAGAAACCAAAAGAAAAAATGACTAAATGAATTGATTGCCAACACACAAAACTGAGGTCACAAAAATGTTTAGCATCTTTTTATTTTTAAAGACAGGGTTTCCACTGTGTAGCCCTGGCTGTCCTGTAACTAACTCACTTTGTGGACCAGGCTGGCCTGATCCGCCTGCGACTACCCCCTTTAGTGCTGGGATTAAAGGTGTGGTTCACCACTGTCCAGCGCTTAGCATCTTTCTAAAAAACATATACATGCTATAAAACATAGTCCACAGTACCATAAGGCAGTTATTAGCATGAGTTCAATGACAGGACCTGCACCCCACTCCCTTTAAATAGAGCACTTCCCAGTACTCCTCCACAGACCCAACCACCACTCACTTCTTCCCCTCTTAGTTCTGAGTCCTTGATTCTCACCACCATAGAATCCTCCAGATTATGAGGTGGAGCTCTCCAGAGACCAGCAACAAAGTAGGCAGGCCTTCTGGTGGAAATGGCCCCACCATTCATTCTTATGTGAAATCCTAATATAGCCCCAGCGCAGTAAGTTAGTATTTGGAGGCAATTCTTAGAGATGTTAAAATGATGCCATGTGGGAGCTCCTTAGATTAGTAAGATAGTTCATCTTTTTTCCCAATTTCATAGGATTTAGAATCAACATGGAAACAAAACCTCTGGGCCTGGTGGGGGGAGGAGAGAGACCCATCCTGTACGCAGCTGGTCCTCTGTCACCGGCTGGGGTAGCAGAATGAATAAAAAAGAGCAAGATAAACATCAGCATTCATCTCTCCCTGCTTCCCGACTGTGTTTGCCACAACATCAGCCACCTCTCGTTCCTGCTGTGACTTCCCGCCACAATATACTAGTGGTTCTCAACCTTCCTAATGTTGTGACCCTTTAATGGAGATGCCCATGCTGTGGTGACCCCAACCAAAAAACAATTTTTGTTGCTACCTCATAACTGCAGTTTTGCTACTTCTATGAATTGAAATGTAAACATGATGTTTTCCAATGGTCTTAGGTGACCCTCATGAAACGGTCCCAGAGAGGTCAAGACCCTCGGGTTGAGAACCACTGGACAAACTCTCATGTATTCCGTCACAGCAATGAGGGTGATGACCAGAACATATGTGTGCATGAAACAGTCAAAGAATTGAAGGTATTAGCTAAATAGGAATGGTGCATTGTTGTCTACAAAGAGAGAAGCACCAAAGCCAAGAAGCTACCTCAAAGTGGAAAAATCTGACGTCGTCGTCTTAACCCTGAGAGCAGGAGTGTGTGAGATGGTACTGCTGTAAGGAGGACACAGACAGAGTGGAGCCCTCATTGAGGGGCCTGGATCCTGATGGCCTCATCCAAGACACATCTAGGATCCAAAGCAATGACACATAGGAGGCTGGGACATACCAAGTGCGCGGCAGAGACCTGTGAGGGGGGCAAGGGTGGAATAGGTTTATAAATCTACTATACATAGGGTCAAGAACAAAGGGAAATATCCTAAAGAGGGTAAATGGGACATGGATTATGCCAACTGAGCCATAACGGTATAAAGGGTGCTGCAGTTGGTGAGGATCACGTGTTAGGAGCTCTGACACTGGGATTGAGTCCTGGCATGTACAGCTATGAGGACGTCTGTTTCACTCTGAGGTATATCTATCCATAGATCACAAGCCCACCTCCATATGCAAGCTTGGTCAGGGGACAATTCTCTTGTCCTCAGTTTCCCCGTGCATAAAACAGCAATGGTGGCAGTGTCTCCCACAAAGCTGAGTGCTATGGGAGATGAAAACCTTTCCATTCTCAGCTGTTCTGCAGCCTGCTCTGGAGCGTCCGTGAGCCTTGAGTCTGGGGCGTCCGTGAGCCTTGAGTCTGGGGCCTTCTGCCTACACAGAGTGTCATCTACTACCACCCCCTCTTAATCTGAGCTGGGAAACTGAGGTATGAAGAGGTTAGGGAAGCTGGAGGTGATGGCACAGGCTTCTGGGCAAGCTAGGATTATCATGGCCAGCCTGGGCTATGTAGTGAGGCTTTCCCTTGAAGCAAACAAAAAGGATTAAAAAAAAAAAAAGATTTATTTACCTGTGTTTCTGTCTGGGTAAGTGTATCCATAAACCTGCAGGAAGTCAGAATGCAGCACCAGTTGTCCTCATATGTCACCCTGCCTATTCCTCTGAGGCAGGGTCTCTCTGATGCTCCAATTAATGTGTTCTCAGGTCAGCTGGAAGCCAGCAAGCCCCATCAAACCCCTGTCTTCATTTACTTTGGGCCTAGGGTTATAAGCACTTGTCTCATTGGTGCTGGGCCTCAAACTGTAGTTCTCATGATGGCACAGCCAAACACTCTTAACCACTGAGCTATCTTTCTGTAGCCCCTCCCCCATTTTGTTTGTCGAAAGGGGGTCTCACATAGCCCAGAGTAGTCTCCAGTACACTCATAGACATATACATATGATAAAAAACAGGGGCTGGAGAGATGGCTAAGCAATCAAGAATACCTTATTTTTTTTTTTTTTTTTTTTTTTTTTTTTTTGCAGAGGACCTGGGTTCAGTTCCCAGCCAATATCTACATAGTAGCTCAAAGCCACTTGTAACTACAACTCCAGGGGCTCTGACATCCTTTCCTGGCTTCTTCCCGAACCAAGCATGAATGTGGTACATAGACATGCATGTAGGCAAACATTCATACACATAAATAAATAAGGAAAAAAAATAGAAATTTACTTGTTTCATAAAGTTTTTACACACAGTATGACTGTTGAGTTCACATAGTATAACATTGGGCCTGAGTTTTACCTGTGACCTGTCATGTGCTATTATGTGGAGCTAAGCTGACACTCAAAAAGGCTTTGGATTTTGGAACATTTCATATACATACATTCACACAGGTAAAGAACACATATATGTCACTGTTTTATGTTGTCTGTTTTGAGACAGTCTGGGAAACCTAGGCTCCTTCTATTCTACTGCCTTAGCCTCCCCAATACTGCCATTGTGTGAGCCTTTATTTTCCTTCAGTCAGGTTCTCTTGTAGCCTGGGCTGGCTTCAAACTCACAATGCAATCAATGATGATTCTCCTGCCTCCACTGAGATCACAGATGAGTAAAACCAAGAAGTTTGGTAGGGGCAAAACCCATGACTTCACGAGTAGTGGGCAAGCATTCTACCAACTGAGCCACACCCCTAACCTTTAAATTTTTTTTTTTTCCACTCTGTAGTCCAAGGTGCTCTCAACTCTTGACCCCTCGGCTTTGTCCCCTGCACTGACGTTAGAGTAACAAGTCACATCCAGCTTAGAAACAGTTCAGATTTTATTACTGTTTATTACTAAGGATATGCAACCTATTCCCACATTATAAACTTATGCTGTGTATATAGAGACATTATCACCTGTGTGATCCCCAAAAAGACAGCACTAGTCTGGCCCGTCCAATGCACAGTCATCCTAAATTCTGACTACGTGTTTTCAAGCCCAGCTCAGTGCTGACTTTACCTGGAAGGTAGGGCTTTGAAACTCTCTACACCTCACAGGGCTGGTAACTGAACTTCCCTTAGGATAATAATTAGCAAAAATGACGACACAGGAGACATAGCACCTCTAGGCAAATACTCTACAGCTTAGACATAGCCGCAGCCCTGCACTGCTGGCTTGTAAGTGACAGCGTTATTAGGAAACCATAACCCTAGAACCTTACTGTGCATTCTACTCAGATTCTCTACCCCCTGAGCCACACGCTCACCCTCACACTTTATTAGCTGTTTATTGTCTGTGCTCTGCCCTTAAATACAATCATCTCTAGGGCGGGACATTTGCAGTTTTGGTCCCAGCTCTGACCACACAGGTGGTTCTGGACTATTCGATAAGCCTCCGTCTGAGGAATTTGCTGGTTCAGTTTCTTGCAGTCTCCATTCTCTCAATGGGGTCCCAGAAAGTCTATCTACACCCACAGCAGAAGCTCCTCCGACCTGCCTATATCACTCCGTGGTTCTCCGGGTCCCTCAGGACATCGTTGTAAGTCTCCCTGACTGATCCCAACATCCAGGTGTCTTCGTGCCTTGTGCATGTCACCAATATCCCTGTGTGCTTATTGTGTAATTACCCCAATCATCTGTTCCCAGCCCAGTTCTTGCCTCCCTGCTCCCCATCGTAACAGATGTCACTCCTCTGAAGCCAGACCCCAGGTGAAGGCACTCCTATAACCCCACCTCTTCCCTTTCTCTGGAACAAACTTTTCTATTTCCTAGTCCCTCCTCTCACTCTGGTCTCCCATCTATGTCACAGGCTACCTCCTCTTTAACCCCAGCCTCCACCCTCCCCCAAGTCTCTGCCGCACACTAGATTTTCTACTCCCGGGTTTTCACTTGGTAGCTTTTTCCAGGTTTCCAAAAAGGAGACAAGCCCAGATAAGAGCAGAAGGCAACCCCCAGAATCTTGCACTCCTTCCATCACTCAGGTTCCTCAACTTTTTCTTAGGGATTGGGGACACACAGAAAATCCTCTTCCATGATGACTCTGGATACCCCCTGAATAAATGAACCCTTTCTTTGTTTGGGAGGGTTCTGCTATCAAACTTAGTGGGAACAAAATGAACCATGGAAGAAAAGAAAAAAAAAAAAAAAAAAAAAAAAAAAAAAAGGCCCTGAACTCCCAGATCCTGGGAGTGGCCAATTTATCAACAAACAAAAATGAGTTCCCATGCTGCTATACATATGACTGCATGGCTGTGTGCTCTGTGGTTGGAGTGACCTGGTATGGATACTGCTAATCACGTGTTTACCTGTC